CTCTCACACACACACACACACACACACACACACACACACACACACACACACAGCCCAGTTCATAGCCACTTGATTCACCACCCACAGTTTATAATAGAACCGATCCGTGGGGTTATAAACCACTTTATTTTTGCACAGAATTTCTCAGCTTGAGGCCAAGTTGAAGGGCATTAGTCATCAGTAATTTGCAGTTGCTTTTTTAAATGTATTTCACTTCGAGAAGGTTAAGACAGCTAAAGCTAAGATTTCCCCATGCTTTGGAAGGAAGTGAAAAATCTGATGATTTAGTTAATCATTGTCATAGCTGTGGGCATATGTTGTTCCTTAGTGACTGCCACATCATGGCTGATTTGTGAATGTGGTAACACATTGTTCTGCATTTTCTTTTGATTTCGAAAGAGATTAGACAGATTCCATTATGCCACATTTCTTTCTTTCTCTTAATATTTGTATATGTTTAAGATTTAAAATTCCTAGGACACGGGAGGAGGAAATTTAGAGATCAAGGTAGGGATCATTGGTATCTCTGGAGCTCCCTCAAGTGTCTCCTGGGTGTCTCCCGGGAGATTCAAGGTCAACAACCCTGAGTTCCAACAAACCCTGGGTTTGTCCTTGAGAAACAGTGACTAGTTCAACCATCTCACTTTTCAAATGAGAAAACTGAGGCACAAGGAGGAGGTGAAGAGACTAGAAATTTGCCAAGATTGCAGAAGGACAATGTTAGGATGCTGGCCTCTCTCTGGCTTCCTTGCTGCCTTGTCACAGGGGGATGCCGCATGCCACCCCCTGTTTCCTCCCCTCAACAGGCTATTCATGATAAACAAGATGGTTCTAGAAACATCCTCTGAGGATGAGATAGATAAGCAGACCTGTTATGACGAGGCTGTGCACCTTTCGTGGGGCTATGTCTCCTTATAGTAGGGATGCCTTTCCTTAATTTGCCCAGTTGACTCCTTGAGGGCTTGCCGTGGCGCAGGGTGCCAGTGACGACAGGTACTTGAATCAGGAACATATTTTTAGAGTAGAGCTGACAGGACTTACTATCTGCAAGAAGTGTTAATAAATTTGTGAAGTAATTTGGATGGGACTTGTTAGAATTCAGAAATCTTGTACATTTAAAAGAGTCCCCTCCTGTCCTTGCACAGGCTTCTGTGATCAAATCATCGTGCTTTCTCTTTTGATCTATGATATGGCTTGTGACGTTCCCGCCTGGAGCAGATATTTTCTCCACAGAAGATTGAATCGTTTCCCTAACTAGAATCAAGGATTTTGCAGAATGTGTTCTGTTTATTAATGCTTTTTTTTCCAATAATTTTTTTTGGGTAAAGTTTAGTCATTTCCACAAATGAAATCTATTTTTAGGTAGCTAAATGAGACTTTTTAATCTATAGAAGCTGTTTTGCAAAAGTTAGAGGCCAGCGTGACAAACCGTTTTATTACCAGCCCATGAAAACTATGACTTCTCTCTGATTTTTCTGTTAAGTCTTAAAAAAAAAAAAATGTTCAGACCATACCCATTTATCTTTCCCTGCCAACTCTGTGATCCCAGGAGGCCCTGCAGCTCAGGGCTGCACCCCAGGCTGAGCAACATGTGCTGGGGCCAGCCTGGTATCCACCCCCTTCCCTGGAGGCTCCTCAGGGATCTGGCGGCTCTTCTTTCCACACTTCTTTTGAAGACAAAATTCCAGACTTTTCCTAACTCCTCCTCCTCCTTAGCTGCTCAGGGGCATTGAGTCCCAATGTCTGCTCCCCGTCTACTTGAAGCTCCCTGGCCTCATCCTGTCTGTTGTCTCCCTACCTCCCTGTCAGCCCCTCCTCTGCTCCTCTTCCACATTCCTCATCCTCTCTGGATGTTCTATCCTTGCCAGCCCAAGCCTCTGCCTCAAGAGCCCCTCAGGGGCATGGGTAGCTGTGTCCTCTCTGCAGTATTCTTAGCTGGTCCTCCAGGCACCTTCTCCCTTCCAAGTTCCAGTTCTGCTTTCTTATAGCATCTCCTGTTTTCCACTGGAACCTCCAACTCAGTGAGTCCCAAATTGATCTTAGAGTCTCCTCCAAGCTGTGCCTCCTCTGTGCCCCCATTTCAGACAGGCATCCGGTCTCAACATTTTGCCATTGATTTTGGTTCTGCATTTTCTTTTGATTTCAAAATTCTGTTTTGAACCGAATCAATAGATTTCACTGTTAATAATTTTTTCTCTGCAATATCGCTCTCTCTTCTGAGGACTTGTGCCTTAGTTCAAGCCTTATAACTACCATAATCCCCAGTCAGCTTCCTGATTAGTGAGTGGTCCTGAGTCTCGCTGGGGCTCTGCTTGCCAAGCTGTGTACCTTTCATGGAGCCAAGTCCCCTTGCAGTAGAGGTACCTTTTTCTAATTTGCTCAAATGGTTTCTTGAGAGCTTATGGCGGTCCTGGGTGGCTGTGGTGACAGGTGCTTGGATATGGAATGTATTTTTAGCTCATCCTCTACACGCCTGTCAAGTGTAAGAGTTTCAGAAAAATATAAAAAATAAGAATATCTTCTCTAATACTAGTTTCTCCATTTATTCTATGGGTTGATGGAATAATCATGCAAACTTCTAAGCTTCTAAGACCCTACTCTTGGTTCATGGCAAACTCTCTGTAAATGCCTTGCTACCCTCCTTATGAGACATTTCTTACTTTCTACCTTGCAGAGCAGTGACTTGTTTTTGAGTTGTGTCTTTTTGGGGGTGAAGTGAGTTGAATGACATAGGCATGTGACCTAGCACAGGCTACTATATAAGGTTACTTGATATAAACACTGCAATACTGACTGTCCATCTGATAGCTACTGCTAGGGGTGGATAGTGTATACAGTGTGGATACACTGGACAGAGAGATGATTGATGTCCCAAGTGAGATGGAGCAAGATGGCATGAGATTTCATTATGCTACTCAGAGTGGTGAATAGTTTAAAACTTATTATTTATTTCTGGAATTTTCCATTTAATATTTTTGGACTGTAATTCACCAAGGGTAATTGCAACTGAATAGAAAAAAAACTATAGATAAGGGAGGATTATTGTTATTTTGGGCAGGAGCTTCGGAGAGGAAATAGTGCTGGAGAGAGGAAGTTAAGACATGATGGTGAAAGTCTTAGGTACAATTGGCTCATTTGGAAGACAAGTGGAGAACTAAAGGCAGGGCTTTGATTGAGTGTCCACATTCATGAGGAGAATGGGGGTTGGCACAGGGGAGGCAGAAGAGGAACTAAGAAAGGAAGATGTAATGGAGACAAAGGTAAAGGAATGTTCTGGAAAGATGGAGATAGCGAACAATGGCTAATGCTGTAGGGGTGATGACAAGGCTTGAGTATGTGCACTATGTTTATGATGGATACAAACCTTCAAAACATTAATTTAGTAGCGATTGGGCTGGGAATCAGCTCTTCTGCCTTGTGAAACAAACATAGCTATATATGACTGTATATGCATGCACACATGCGTGTCTAAATGTTTATCATTAGTGATTACATTTAGATGGTGAGATTTTATGTGTTGTAATAATTTTCTTATTTCTCTTTATTTTCTTAATATTCTATGAAATCACAACTTTTTTTTCACTAGAAAACTGTCATGGTTTTTAAAGTTCTGGGTTTTATTGCTATACTGGACATTTATTGAGCACTTATAGAATGGATTTTGCCTATGAGAAAGAAAAAATTTACTATGCCATGGCCTCTGTCCTCAGGGAACTCAGTGGTGGAAAAGACCAACATGTGAACAATGGAATGTCAGGCAAGGTGCTCGCTGCTAGAAAAGAGGACCTGTTAAGAGGGAGCATAAAGGAAAGGTCATTTCCAATGGAAACACTGGGAAAGGCTCCTAGGAGAGCTGACATCTGAGCCATACTCTCATCTGGGCCCTGTCTAGCATGCAGACAGCTTGTTTGTGAAGAAGACGGTTCCTACTCTGACCAGTCTTTACCATCACTTGCTTATATGTTGGTTTGGAATTATTCTCCACTTTTTCATAGTCATGTGGTTGTTTTCTTATTTTGTATATCTTTGGATATTTTCTAGTTTTTGTATTTAACATTTGTACAATTTTCCTATGCTTGGTTTTATGACTTCTTTCTAAGAGCTGTTCTCTAGATTTGGAAGCATTCTTCAATGATTTGTTTACATGTATACACACACATACACACATATATGTGTATACACACACACACACACACACACACACACGATTCATACTATATTATCTAAAAGAAACATTCTCAAAAAGCATCCTCAGAAATGGAAGTCTTGGTCATGAATTTTCTCCTGAGTATAAAATGTTGCTGGACAAGTTTCTATTTAAATCACACTCGATGGGCTTGACTGACCACAGGAGCTCTCAGAGTGCAGGCTACAGGTTGCTTCACTTTCAGCAAGGTAAGGCTGTTCCTCCATTAAGGACTAATTTAGGGAATTTAACAAGGCTGGGCCCATTTGGAGTTGTTGAGGAACTGATACAGGCTTGTGAGAAACCCAAATCAGCTTGTGATAGGGGGCTTCTGAGAAGAGCCCAGTAGGAAATCTTGTGGGATCCAAGGACTGACAAGAAAGCTCAGCAGACCTGAGAGGGCCAAAGAGAGAACTGGTTGTTGGTCTGCTC